ATCATTATAAAATGTCCATCTTTATCTTTTGTTACCTTTTTTTTTTGTTTTGAAATCTTTTTTGTCAGATATATGTAGAACTATACCTTCTTTTCTATGGATGTCATTTGCTTGGAGAATTATTTTTTTGCCCTTTCAGTTAGAGTCTATATTTGTTTTTGCAGTTGAGATGTGTCTCCTGAAGGCAGCATACAGTTGGGTTTTTTGTTTTTCTGCTTTTTTCTTTTTTAAAAAAAAAAAAAATCAAATCTGCTACCTGCCTTTTTTATTGGTGAACTTAGCCCAATTACATTTAATTTTGGATATTTGTGTGTGTGTGGTTACCACTAGGTATATGTAAAAGAAAATTATATATATATATAGTACTCTTTTTTTCTTCTGAATGCATCTAATCTCCATCCCCACTTGTAAATTCATACCTTTACTTCTCTCTTTTTATGTTTTTCTTGTCCCAGATTATCCCTATTTATGCTGTATCTTCATTTCTGAGTTCAAGTAGCTTTTATCTTCTTCCTTTAAAAAAAAAGTTATTACCTGCTTTCACCTTCATGTAATATTTAAGTGCATATTACCCCATTCTAAAAAAAGTTTATGATATACTGCTTCTTCCTGCCTGTTGGTAATCTTCCACTTAGTTTGTGACCTTTTGTTCTTTGTTTCAGTTATAATAACTCCTTAGACTATTTCTTGCAATGGAGGTCTTCTGTGGTAAACTTCCTCAGCTTCTGTATGTCTGGAAAATTTTTCATTTCTCTTTCATATCTAAAGGATAATTTTGCTGGATATATTATTCTTGGCTGGTATTTTCTCTCTTTAAGTAGTTTGAATATTTTATTTCCCTCTCTTCTACCTTGTAGGGTTTCTGCTGAGAAATCTGATGATAATCTGATGGGATTTCCTTTATAGGTTACTGTCTTCTTTTCTCTCGCTACCTTCTTAATTCTTTCTTTGTCATTAATTTTGACAGTTTTAATATAATGTGCCTTAAAGAAGGCATTTTTGAATGGAGGCAATTAGGTGTTCTATTTGCTTCTTGGATTTGACGAGTTAGCTCTTTCCATAGGGCTGGAAATTTCTCATCAGCAAATGAGAATTTTTTTTTTTTTTTTTTTGAGTAGGGTCTCTATTTCCTTTTCTCTCTCTTCTTTTCCTGATATGTCCATTATTCTTATATTGCTCTTTCTGATGGAGTCAGATAGTTCCTCTAGAGTTCTTTCATTTTTAAAATAATTTTCCAGTATTCCTCTTTCCCCGGCATCATTTCTAGTTTTCCGTCTTTAATTATTCCTCCATCTGGTCAGCTCTATTTTCTAAGCTTGCTAGCTTATTCTTTATCTATTTTATTCAGTTCTTCATCTCCAGAATATCTATTTGGTTCCTTTTTAAAGTTTCTATCTCATTGGTAAAGTACTAGTTTTATTCATTGATTTTATTTCTGAGTTTATTAAATTGTCCATCTGTTTTCTTGCATCTTGTTGACTTTTTCCAGAACTGCAATATTGAATTATCTTTCATTTAAATCACATGTTTTTATGTCTTTAAGTTTATTTCCTTGAGATTTAAAAATTTTTTGTTTATGAGCTGCCTTGTTACCTTGGTTATTCATGGTATTTGATAGATTTCTTCTCGTCTAGGCATCTACGCATGAGTGGCACTTCCCTAGTAGATTGATTAAAAAAAAGTCTTTCTAATGTTTTCTATTAGGTGGCACTGAATCACAAGTTTTTTAGTTCTCTTGAACTGCTCTGGCTTTTCAGATCTCTGTGAGTTGGTGGAAAATGTCCTGTGTTTCCTGGGAAGTTGGGCATCTTTTCTGTGTCTATGTCACTTCAGTCTCAGGGGACCAACTCTGAAAAGGAATATGGTGGCCATTAGGTTTCCCAATCTGTGAAATCCTAGTGCTGTCCTCTGAAGCCAGATGCTGCTGGCAGTTAAGCCACAATGGGTGGTTGTGGGGTTAGCTGGGAGTGGCTGGCTGCTGCCTTTATTGCTTTACTCTCCCAGTAATGTTAACTGGCAGACCTCAACAACTTCCTCTTTGCATCTCCACTGACCCTGGAATTAGTTGCAGAGTGCAGCTATTGCTCAGGGATAAGTGTTTCTGTACTATTTGCTCTCAGGTTTGCAGATAATGCACTCTGCAATCGAACACTCACTGCTACAGCTTTTTCTGGGCCCTGCTGATAGCTCTGGGAGGGTGAGAGGAGCTGAGCTCTAGGAGGGTGATGGGAGGTGGCCAGGCCTGGTGGCTTTGTTTCTCTGTCTGAAATGCCAGTTGCCAGACAACTTTGGCTGTATCTTTGTTCTTCATACCTGCCCAGGTCACTGGGTTCAGTTGCAGCATATACTGACCATTCCCCCCGGAATGCTCACTATATTTCTCTGTTCCTCCCAGCTGGAGGGAGTGCCAGTGGCAACCTGATTCCTTCCCTCTCTGGGCTGAGACGCACAGTGAGCTCTGGATTGCAAGCCCTGGGATTCATCCCTGGCACCATCTCAGCTCTTCTCTCTTTCCACCTCCGTGGTTTGCTCTTCTCTCCCACCTTCAGATGTTTCATTGCACAGATCTCTCAGATGTGTTTGTGTCTTGAGAAGGGAATTCTTTGTTGAATTATAGCTGTTCAAATTGTTGGAACTTCAAGGGAAGAGGCCAAGGTGACTCTCACTCCACAATTTCTCTTACCTCTTTTATTATTTTTTTGAGGAAGTACCATATTGCTTTCAAAAATTTACATTTTTACTAGCAGTGTATGAGGGTTCCTTTTTTTCCACATCCTCTCCAACTCTTATTTCTTGTCTTGTTGATAATAGCTATTCTAACAAGTGTGAGGTGGTATCCCACTGTGATTTTAATTTGTGTTTCCTTTTAGCTAGTGAACTTGAACATCTTTTCATATATCTGTTGGCCATTTGTATGTCTTCTTGGGAAAAGTGTCTTTTCATATCCTCTGCCCATTCTTTAAATTGGATTGTTTTTGTTGTTGTTGAGTTGTATGAGTTCTTCCAGAGATTTTGTTGGCACATATCTTCTAACCTTTGGTTGGTTTCCTTTTGCTTTGTTGATGTTTTCTTTTGCTGTGCAGAAACCTTTCAGTTTGATGTACTCTCATTCATTTATAAAACCAGCCCTGGTCAGCGTGGCTCAGTGGTTGGAGCGTCAGCCCATGCACCAAAGGGTTGCAGATTCAGTTCCTGGTCAAAGGCACATACCTGGGTTGTAGGTTCAATCCCTGGTCCTGGTCGGGTCACTTGTAGGAGGAAACCAATTGCTGTGCCTGTCTCACATCGATATTTTTCTCTCTCTCTCTATCTCTTTCTCCCCCTCTCTCCCTCCTTTCCACTCTCTGTAAAAAAAAACTTTATATCAGTATTTCTTGCATTATTCAAGTTAATTTTTGGTTTTACTCAGATCATTAGTTTCATAAGGGGAGTTATGTGGCATATTCCTTGAATTTCTGAGTGTTCAAATGTGGATTAATTTTGTCTATATAAAAGAATGATAATTTGCCTGAACAAAAAATTTTAAGGTTATTGCATTACCTCAGAATTCTCAAGTATTTCCCCACAGCATTGAACATGAGGTATCTAATGCTAGTGTCTTAAAATTCAGACAATTGGTGAGACTGAGTGTAAACTTTTCTTATTAACTCTGAAGGCAATTCTGCGAGTCCTCCATAGTATAAAAGTAGAGGTTTTAGGTTGAGTTTTTGTTTTCTCCTAAGGACTTCTATCTGAAACATTAGTGTCTGACATATCTTTTGACACCAGGTGGGCTCTGACTGTCAGTTGAGTGCTTATATGAAAACCAAACAAAGAAATAATATTTAAACTGTCTTTAGGCTGCCACAGCAAGCATTAATGAAAGGGGGAAAAAAAACTCAACACAGTAATTAATTCCCCATGAACACGCTAATTTCTGGAGTCACTTCTCTGCCTCCAATAAAACTTCTCTCTAATCAGACACCACCAAGGGGACACCAGTGTTCCCAGGCCATGAACTGTGAAAGGAAAGCTGCATGGCTACTCTTCATACTTAGAGTACTTGTAGACACACTCAACTCATTTAGGGTAGAATGGGGATCCAAGGCCTCTCTCCTTTGTATTCCTTTTAGACTCACTCATACAACATGAGTGAAAAATCTGTCGGCCCATCAGCTCACCACTTCCAGGTCAATGCTGCTCATGGATCTCTTTAAGTGTGACAGTTTGTCTGACTGGGGAAACTGAGAAAAAGGGTATTTTCCTTAGATTATCGATAATCTGTATTGCCACCACTGCTCCTTTTTTACTATGGAATATGGAGGTTTGCCTGCAGATGATACAGCTACGTTCAAAGTGCCTAGTGTCTTCTGATAATGATTTTGTGAAGAGTAGAAGAAAAAGACAGAGGAGAGTCTGAGGGGACAAGGGGAACAGGCAAGGAAATGAGAAGAATGACAGTAGACGCCAGAGGAAAAGATAATGGGCAAGTAGAAAAATACAGAGAAAACAAAGAAGAAAGGAAGGCTGGGAGCTGATGAGAGGAGGAGGAGACCACAGGGAGGTAAGGAGGGGGTACTGCTGGAAAGGCCACTGGGCACTACCCAGGACCTTCTTCACCTCTTTTTGTAGAAAAGGGTATGAGAACCCAAGTGTGGACTTGATTTCTCCAAGAGGTACTCAGTTTTCCAGCCAGACCACAGACTGCAGAATTTATTCTAAGCCAAAACTCCTTTTATAGTTGTTGGCACAATGGGGAGGTTAGGAGGCAGACAAGAACAGGAAGAGAGTCTGGAAGCCAGAGAGTGGTAGAGATGGAGGGGAAATGAAAAACCTTGTGGGAGGCTTGTGGCTGAGGGAAGGAATAGGGTTTCTCTGACAGAGAAGTGAGCAGGAGAGGTGTGTTTGTTTGTGTGGCAAGGGAAGTTAGCGAAGAGTTCAAAAGGGTTTGGAGGGGAAGCTGACGTGTGAGTTCTGAGGAACACTTGTCTTGTGTGGTATCCTTTGCCTAACAAGATCCAATGCTGCTGCTTCTGCCCCTGCTCTTCACGGGGATTCTCTGCCATGGGCCAAACACAGAGGGTAAGAAGGACCCAGGTGGAAAGACACCTGTGGTTGGGCATAGCGGGGTGGAGAAAAAGTTCTGAGGAGGATCTGGGGGCAGGGAGTAATGCTCCTACTGGGTGCCCTTGTAATCTGCATGCCAGGCTAGTTCCAGGCAACATATCCTTGACACATCTCAGTTTCTCTCTCTGATTTTGGGGAGAAGAAACTGGATCAGGGGGAAGGGGATATGAGAATATGTACAAACTTTAACTATCTCCATTTGTCTTTTCCTATATGGACCCTTCTTCTCCCATCCTTTCGCACTCTCTCAATTGTCATTTCTCTGTCTCTCAGCTACCCAAGTTCTAGGACCCCACCATCTAGCAGCAGAAGAACCCATGACTTTTCACCTGCTCCAGATCTCTTCCTATGCCAACCAGAGCTGGGAGAACACCCAGAGCTCAGCCTGGCTGGGCGAGCTGCAGACTCATCGCTGGGACAATGCCTTGGGCACCATCGACCTTCTGTGGCCCTGGTCCCAGGGTAATTTTAGCAAGAAGGAGTTGGAGAACATCCAGGCTCTATTGCAGTTGTACTTCCATAGTTTTCCCCAGGAAGTGCGGAAGTTTTCCAGCCAGTTTCAGTTTGAATGTGAGTTTGCTATTCCAAGCTGAAGATGGTAGATGGGCTCTGACGATCATTCAACCTTCCTGACCTTGCTTTCTGTCTCCCTTCACTCACTCTCTCCTCTTTGCTTCACCCTTCACCATCATCCCCACTCTATGCCTACCCCACCACATACACAGAAGGACCTACATGTACATATCTCTTCACACCCTGAATATACCCTCATATTCTGGCTCCAAAGGGAATAGTTGCCTCCCTTTGATGTTCTTTCGCCTGTCCTTGGCCTCAGACTCAACCCTTCCCAGCCAGGACCTGCTCTCCTTTCTTCCTGGCCTGATGGTTCAAGTGGCCTAACCAGTACCCAGCCCCTCCCAAGTGACCTCTTCCTGACTCGGCTGCTATACTTCTACGTCGTCCCATCTAACCCCTTAAAGTTAATTATTTTAACATACCTTTATTATGTTCCCACAAATTTCCTCTTCCTTTTTCATCCCAACACTAGTATCCCATGTGATTCGCCAGAAAAATTTTCTTCCCTTGATTCCCTTTAATTTCTATATTTTCCTCCCTATAATTCTTTCCGTACTGACTCTCTCTTCTTTGTCCATCCCCAGATCCCTTTGAGATCCAGATATCATCTGGCTGTAGCATACATCCTGGGAAAGCCTCAGAAAGCTTCTTAAATGGGGCATATAAAGGATCAGATTTCCTGAGTTTCCAAGGAAATTTCTGGAAGCCATCTCCAGGAGCAGGGAGTCAGGCCCAGAATGTCTGTAAAGTGCTTAATCGCTACAGAGTTATTAAAGAGATTCTGAAGAGACTTCTCAGTGACACCTGCCCGCGATTTCTGGCGAGCCTCCTTGAAGCAGGGAAGTCAGAGCTGGAACGACAAGGTGAGCCCAGCTTCCTTTCCCCTCATATTCCTAGTGCTTTAATTCTTGTATTTAAGTTTTTTTTGTTCATTATCATCCCTTTGAAACACATAATAAGAAGATGAGTGTGATTGTAAGACTGTTTCCGAGACAACAGAAAGGAGCGATTACTCAAACTGCTAAGGTGTCTGAGTCGCTGAGGCCTGGCTTAGGACGCCCTCCTAACCTCTACTTCTCGTCTTTCCAGTGAAGCCAGAGGCTTGGGTGTCCAAAGGCTCTAGTCCTGGTCCTGGGCGTCTGCTGCTGGTGTGCCATGTATCTGGCTTTCACCCCAAACCTGTGTGGGTGAGGTGGATGCGGGGCGACAAGGAGCAGCGGGGCGCTCAGCAAGGTGACCTCCTGCCCAATGCTGACAGAACGTGGTATCTTCGAGTAACCCTGGACGTGGCAGCTAGAGAGGCGACTGGTCTGACTTGCCGGGTGAAACACAGCAGCCTGGGAGGCCAGGATTTAATCATCCACTGGGGTGAGGAAGAACGAGGGCCCGGCTGGGGAATGCTAGTCTTCCCGTAGTTCCAGGGCTAATGAATAAGTAGCTGGAGAAATGCTATGCACAGAGGATAAAAGTGGGAAAGTACAAATAAAGAAGGGTGAAGGATGATAGCAATTAAATTTCAAGAAAACAGAAGTAGAGGATTAGAGGTAGTAAAGGGAAAAAAAGAGGGATCTAATGATTTGGTAAGAAAAAGAGAGGGGGTGAGATCAGGGACATAGACTTGGGAAGAACTGAAATGAGGGCTCTAGGAAATACAGAAGAAAACTCTTGGAAGGTCTGTCTCACGCTGGTGAAGTGAGAAGCATTAACTGAGGCAGAGCAGAGAGTACTTCATGGATTGGCATTCTTTATTCCCACCCAGAGGGACACCCCATCCTCCTGACGTTGATCTGTTTGGCTGTAATAGTTACCCTGGTTATGCTGGTTGTGGTTGACTTCTGGTTTAAAAAGCAGAGGTGAGACTTTTCTTGTTATGTTTCTTCTACTACTTATCAAGTCATTCTTTTTCCCTCTATTGTTTCCTTTCTTCCCCCTTTTTCTGATTTCCCCTGTTTGAGATCAAGATTCTCTGCTTCTCCCACAGTTCAAATCGGAAGGTCTGCTCTCCCCATGTACCCAACCTCGCCTTTCCCAAAGAAGCCAACATCCAAGAGCCCAGGAGTTCAGGAAATCAGCTCTGCTTGCCACAGAAATCATGGATGAAAAACAAATTCTTGAAGAAATGGAAAATAAGCCTAAACAAATTCTGATGATATTTGTTTTTCCTTATACCTAAAATTCCTGTCTGTTTCTCCTTAAATTTGGGTCATACCAATAAACAAAGCGTGACTATATTGGAACAGCTTCTTCTGGCAGCAATTCTGACTCCTTTGGAAACCTGTCCTCCCTCTGCGCCCTATCTGTGACAACCTCTTTTCTGCTTTGGCAACATGTTTATTGATCCTTCAAACTCTAATTCAGCTACCTGCTTCTCATGGAAGCTTCCCTGGATTGCTCAGCTGAAATCTCAAGACAAGTACCATGTGGTTTCACTTATATGTGGAATCTAATGAACAAACAACAAACAAAATAGAAACAGACTCTTAGATACAGAGAACAGACTGACAGCTGTCAGAGGGGAGGGAGGTTGGGAGTGGGTAAAAAAGGTGCAGGGATTAAGTAAAATACCCACAAAACTCACAGACACAGATAACAGCATAGTGATTACCAGAGGGAAGGGGGAGGGGCTGGTAGAAGACGGCAAAAGAGGGATAAATACGATGGAAGGAGGTTTGACTTGCAGAAATGAGCACACAATTCAGTAGACAGATGATGTGTTATAGAATTGTACATCCGAAACCTATATAATTTTATTAACCAATGTCATCCCAACAAATTCAATAAAAAATAAAAATTTTGTAACTATGAAAAAAAAAAGAAGAAATTTCTTATATACTTCCTAAATGTCTTACCCTCTTTGTACTCTAAGCAGTAGTTATTTAGGTTTTCCTCTCTAAAAATAAAAAAAAAAATCTCAGTTCCTTGAAGTAGAATTTAGGTGTTTCTATCTGTGTCCAAGACCCAAAGCCTAACCTGAATTCAGGGCCAGCATACTGGGCATGTGACCTGTGCAGTTTTTGTCATCTTGAAGTTCTTAATAATTTTTGAACAAGAAATATTGTATCTTTATTTTGTACTGGCCCCACAAATTATGCAGCTGGTTGTGTTTTAATGTGATATTTCTTAATAAATTCTGACTAAAATAAATTTATTGTCAAATTAAGTAACATTGTCTTAATTCATTCACTCTTGGACATCTCTGCATCATTTGGCTGTGTTCTTATAAAAATGTGTTCTCTCCTGCTTTGTCTCTCACCAGAGGTGAAGGAGGCAAAAAAGTGCTTCGGACTTTATAGTGATTGTTGTTTGAGCATATTCAGAGATATTTAAAAAAAAAAGACATATGAGATGTCTCCTGTCAAAATAAGAATAGGGTTGGACAGGCATTCCTACTTCTCTGAAATTGTGTATATGTGTATCTTGGTAGATGTGCATATTTAGGGGAGAAATTATTATTTTGACAATTAGGAAGAAGACATGGGAGTTGGGATAATTTTAATGAGCAGAGCCAAGACAATGAAGAAAAGAAGTGATTGGATGACAGCCACACTATATGTTTACTTTTCTTTATTATTTTGGTTTATTATAATTATCATTATTATTTATAGTTTGTTTTCCTCTTACTTTTATATAAATTTTAAAATTAGCTAATTACTTTAATGGAGGTACATTTGAACTTGTTGGAGAGCAGAAAGTTGTGAGGATGCTGAGTTTATACTGATGTCCAGCCAACACCTTCCTTTGGATGGGGTAATTGAGCAGACTTTGCAAATTTCTTAGTGGAAGTTTCTATTTTCAAGTTAACAGACAGGATTCCATAACCACTCACCACGGCTGTGCTCTTAGCCATGAGCAAAGTTTGGGGGCTAGCCATTTCACTAATTAGAGTCCATCACCTTTTGTATAACATGTTTATGTAGAAGCAGGTCACTAGAGTCTAACGAGAAAGGTAGAATTTTAATAAATTAGAGGAATAAGTGATAAAAGTCAACGTTCCATTACATACATGGTAGAAGGTGACAGCGAGTGACCTCTATCAAAATTAAGAGGACTTTTCTGTTTCTAGCAGAGGTGTGTAGTACAGATATATGTCCAATGTTTTCTATTTTGATGGGCTTTACCCATGACTCTAGTTTTTTGGTCAAAATAATTCTTGAATTCCTAGTTATGGCTCCTTAACTTTTCTGATCCCATGTCAAATCTTTCCCCTACTATATATGATATTTCTTTGACACTAAACTTGGAGACAGGGTCAAGGGTGGAAGTAGCAGGGCCAATTTCAAGCCTATTGTAGTAATCTGATAAAAAATGACAGTAGTAAACCATAGCACTTGAGGTGGAGGAGATAAAAAGAGACTTGAAACTATGTGTGTTTTGAAAACAGAGCCAATAGGACTTGATGGTAGAGTCTATCTTTTGTGTTAGAAAAACAAGGAGATAGGAATGACTCCAGGTTTTTATCCAGAGAAGCTGGAATTTCACTCGGAGCTACAATTAACAAGATAGATAGGATTATGGAAGAAACAGATTTGGGGGACAAACTGAGAATTTGGTTTTGGATGTTTAATTTGAAATGCCTCTTAAGATGCAGATGTTTCATTAACATTGAGATGTGAAAGGTTGTTGGTTACACTAGGTTCACTCATGGGGGAACTTCCAACTGAGGAAGTAAAGGCACAGAGATAGACAATATTTCAGTTTTGAATGTTGTGGGAATTCTAAGCATTTGAAAATACTTGAAGCATAGAGCAGTGTCATTCAAAGCGTGGACCAAAGAACGGGACCAGACCTAGGAAATATTTGTTACTTATTCATGACAACAGAAATATACAGACTAAAAGTAAATGTTTAAAACTTTTATAACAATTCAACAGAGTGATTTTATGTATGTTAATCTAATAGTATAACAAGAAAAGGTCTGTGTCAATTTTTATTTTGCTTTTAAAAATAATTCATTTTCATTGGATTTTACAAAATTATTGGTGCATAATAAATTTGGGGGAAAATTAGTCTTTCATTTCAGATAGATCGAGAAGCACAAGCAGAATGTAAGGAGGTGGGCCTGGCTGTATAGAAGAGTAGGACATAGAAGGCTTTGCATGTCATATTGCATTATTTAGATGTGATATGGTAATAAATGGAAGCCCATGTGTTTAAAAATATTTTTAAAACCTCATTAGAAAATTTATGTCAAGCATGTGTCAACATGTACTAATGTACTAGTAAATAAATCAGTAAATTGATGAAAAATAAAGAAAAGTGCACGTTTCACAGATGGTATGGAATTGGAGGAGTGATACATTTGGAAAACAGAATGCTTATGAACTAAGAGTGGTTATACTTTTATTTCAGTTTCATAAAAGCATCATGGCCAAGTACTTTTTTTTTTTACACAGGAAGTCTGTGGAAGGGTGATCTGAGATACCCGGGGTCAAACATTAGATCAGAAGAAAATAAATAAATAAATGAAGCAAACAACAGAGATGCAACTTTGTGTAAAATTGAAAAAACGTGTTTCACTTCCCAACAACTATCATGAGAGCTTAAACTGTGTCAGACAGAGACCTGGAAGGAGACAAGCGCTGATTTTAAACATTACCAGGGGCTTTCCCCCTCAAGCTGTAAACAAATAAGCTTATGGCTTAGTTTACTCATTTCTTCTTTGGGAATGTCTTGTGATTTAACACAAGAAACAGTTTTTCACAGGGATGTTATAATGTTTTCATTTTAGAAAACTAACTGGGTCTACAATGGGAAGTTGGATTTAAGGGGTCAATAAAGAAACATTTTTAGTAATTACTGTGTAAATTGAGAAAGGAGTGAATTAAAGCAACAAGGGAAGATAAATTTGGCTATTCAACCTAACCTAAACTAGATATTAACCAACACATCATTGGAAAAAACAAAAACAAAAAACAGTATGTATTAATACAAAGAAGAATTACTCTCCATGGACTTTATCTTCAATTTTCCTTGACACTTGACTGAAATCATGTCAACAGTTATGACACAGTTTCAGCAGTCACTGCGAGGGAGTTAAGAGGGGGCTCTGAGCCTGTGCTTGCACTGACAGTAAACTGTGCCTCAGGGCCATCTTCATGGGACTAGCACTATGGAAGAAAGTTTTATGTTCAGGGGTTTTAAGATAACAGGCTTGGAGGTATTAATGAAATAAATAGTAGGTTAAAGATGATTTGGGTTTTGCTCTAGCTTAAGAGATAAAAAAGAGAACAGGAGACCAGAGATGCGTTGGAAGTAATTTTCCAAGTATTTCAATGTAAGCATTGCCTGTGATAAAGATGATGGCCCTTATTTTTTAAGAAAAGTAAGAATAGTTTTAGTAGAAAAGTGACAAAATTTAATAAATATGCTGGTAAGAATAAATGTGTCAGGGTAAATGGAGAAAGAACTAAAGATGTTTGGCCAGGTAGCTCAGTTGGTTAGACTGTTGTCTGGATACCCCAAGGTTGCGGGCATATATCAGAACCACCCAATAAATGCATAAATAAGTGGAACAGTAAAGCGATGTTTCTCTCTAAATTAAAAAAAAAAAAAAAGAGCTAAGGATGTTTTAAGTACTTTAGATAAGAATTAAGAAAATATAAAACTTCAGAAGAGAACTGGTTATAATTAATATTATTGCAAATGTCTAAATTTGTTAAAAACAAGAGCTTTTTTTAGGTTTCATTTTTTTCAAGAAAGAGGCAGTATCCACAATTTAAAAATGATCACAACCCTCCCATAAGTGGAATAGATATTTAATGGCTGCATTAACCTATTAATTACATGGAGGTTTTTTCTTAATGAATTTTCAGTTCATGAAAAGTTGCCTATCAACTTGAAGCTGAAAACATAATAGTTATTTCTCTTCACTTCCCAGTCTATCCAATTTTGCCTGAAATTATTAAGTCTGAAATGATCTATGCCAGGAAGGTGGAGCGAGCTATGGGATGTGTCTACTTTGGCATCATTGCTGAGGGTTGCTTAACTTACAATTCTAAAGGCACATTCTCCACTTTCTATTGAAAGGTGATCGTATGGAATGATAGCAACATTATTTGATCTTCACCTTGCTTTTGTTTTAGAAAATATAACTCTTTTAAATACTTTATTGACTTATTTTTAAAAAATAAGGCCACCTGGTAAAACA